CAGCTTGGATTGCAGATCGTGATCATTGGAGTTCAAGAAAAAGCAAAAGAGTTTGTGGAATTCATCAAAGGTATCATTCTCATCACAGTTTCTATCTAAACACATTGCAGATCCTCGTTTGGGAATTGAAAATTGTTTAATTTCCGCTGTGCATGTTAAGTAAATTCCCAACACAAGTAACAACAAAATTAAAAGTCTAATTTCACAATTTACTGTCCACATCACAACAAAGCTATAAAATAATTCTCATTGTTCACTACTTACTTATGTAGTATCAATTTCTTCACGTAGTTTTGTGAAAAGTTAGAAGTAAAATCTTAGTTATATATATATATACTGAAATCACGTAATGCTTCGGCATAAAATTCGATATTTTTCAACTTTGAAGAATGACTATAAAATTTAAAATAAAATAAATCGAACATGAAGAACACGAATTTGATAAATACATTTTGAAAATCCAAAAAGAGGAGGAGGAGGAGGATAATGGTGATATATATTATTTAAGTCTGAAATATATTTCTAACTTTACTATCAAAATAAATAATCACACATTTCCACCATTAACCCATAAAAAATGATTTATTTCATACGTACAAGGAATCTCATTAAAGATAGCAAAACATGCCACTTTATGTTATTCTTCTCGTTGAGACACGTGTATGTACGGAAAATAATAGCACTATTTGTCACCATCATAATCCATATCAACCCCACTACCAAACCGAACCAGATCAATAAAAAAGAAAAAATGGTTTTGCTATATCGTGTTTTATACCTTGGTGTACTGACCCCATCATAAGAGTGGAAACCCATGACCAATAAAAAATCACCAGCCCCCCTCCCTCCGGCCCCTCCCCTCTTGTGAGAGAGTGTCTACACCAAGGTGTCAAACTCGATGTCCAAATATCAAAATTTAAAGAAAAATTGGTTTACCTAAACTTAGAATGGAAGACCCGCTTTTAGAAATTATAAATAGCCCATGTTTGGGTTTCATTTTTATAAAAAACTCATTTTTTTCAACTCTCATTTTCTATCACGCATTTTACTACAAAATAATTTCACACGTAAATCAATTTTTTTTTATTTTATTACCACACATTCTTCAACCTTTTTCTATTCTAAAATACATTCTCTTGAAAAATTGGAGCCCAGGGCATACTTTAATTCCTTCCATGCAAAAGAATAGAATTGATGCATGTTTATAAAAAAATAATAATTTCTTTATTAATTTAATGATCAAATTGAGATAATAATTTTCTTAATCACACTTTTCACAATATCGATAAATACTATTAACTTATTCATCACTTATTTTATCAATAAATACTATTCACTTATTGCAATATAGTCAGTCCCTATTTGGTAGAAATTAAAATCCAAATTTCAATTTAAGTCAAAGTCAATAATTAATTTTAACTACTCATTTTACGAGATACGTAACTTTTCAATCATACAGTTCATCAATTTTTATTAAAATCTACTAAACATCTTATTTTAATCACTATCAAAGAGGGGCTCAAGCTTCAATTATAATTGTTGACCTCAAAGTTTGCACCTCTAAGGTGGTCAACAGATCCTAATGTCTCTTACGCCCACACAAACTTGATTTTGGCACTCTAGGACAAAGTGTTAGCCACATATGGCTTCCTCTGGTGGTGGTGGAATTGGCTGCGCGCACTAACAGTCAACTCAATTGAAGTAATAAGTATATAAGTGTGGGAGGGCTTTAGATACGAGCCTCTAGTTTTTAAAAAAAATGTGTTCGATTTTTGAGTTTATGTAGAGAGTATTGCCAGAACAAAGTTATGGCTTGAGAATTTAAAGTTGCATTATCTTTGAAATGTCATATAGTCTGAGCTTTTCTAGTTGAAAATGGTGAATGTGATAGTAGGATAAAAGTATACATGGTCTATCCATTCGGCTGTGGCCTCTTGTCAAGTGCATCAATCAATCATAATCATTAAATGCTAATGCGATTTGTTACCCATAAAAAAAACCTGACATGAGGCTTAAACTTGACTTGGTTGATTGGATTGGGGCGACGATAGTAATGAATTATCAAATCGATCACGTACCAAAGATCTCATAAAAGATCACTCGTTATTCCTCCTTGTAGCCTCTCCCTTGTACAAGGGTCGGCCCAGTCAAATGGATTCAACTTCAGTCAAGTGGTTCGCCCTATTCACGGGGTTCGATATACCGCTTTTGATAGAATGACGTGGAGTACGAGCATAAAGTCCAAGTGTCGTGTAGGGTATATTTGGACCTAGTTAGTCGATCTGTAACAATGATAATAAAATAGTAATGCTATTCATAGTCGCTTATTGCGACAGTCGCTATACGTGGCACATACATGGTAAATAGTTATTTAATGTATTAATGTAGTGATTTTTTTACCATATCAATGCATCAAACACACACTTGCCATGTGTGTGCCACATAAGACGATTGTCACAGTGAACAACTGCAAATAACATAAAATTAATCATAGTATTAAGCGAGCTACAGTACTAATTTCCAAGACAAGGTGAAAGCTTAACAAGACAGCTAACTCAATCAATGCATTTTGTTGCTTTACTCACAGCAATTAAGAGAAAGACATTGCTTTTTAAGACATTAATGATTAATGCACTCTACGCATGCATTAACAAACCTAATGCCCTCTTATGATAGGTTCGCCATGGTCATCCATGGGCCCATTCTTGGTTATGGGCCCGTTCTTGTTTGGCGGATGATTGATATAGATAAGCCGCCCCCACTTTTTGAGAAAAATGAATTTTTTAATAATAATTTTTTAAAAATGTGTAATTAAAAAGTAGGAAAAAAATTTAAATTTCGTATAAAATTATTTTATGGATGATATATGATCGAAAATGAATTTTAGGAAAAATGAATTTTGATAAAAATAGACTCAAACAGGGGATTGCAATGAGAGTGGCAGATTTAGGGTGGCGGCCACAACTCTTTTAATAATTAAAAAAAATACTTTTTTATCCATTTTAATTCTTTTTTAGTTCAATCCTAGATGTTCAACCTAATCAAAGATTGAAAAAGGGTGTTATTTGTTGTTGTGGGAGGGTTTCTTCCACATATTTTTTAATGATTATTCAACTTATGATTTTCACTATAAGTTGTTACGATCTTTTTTCTTCAAACAAAGTGATAAAACAGGAACAATGTTACAAGTACAGAAATAGTTTCACAAAATTAATAATTCTCTCTATATTAATTTTGTGAAATTATGCCTCTATTTGAGCCACATTATTTTTTTCATTCGCATTTTTCTACTCGTTTTCAATCACACATTTTCAATAAAATAATATTTTTCACCACATCAATAAATTTTTCTTCTTTTTCAACCGCATATTCCCTATCACATAAAAAAATGCACTATTGGCTAAAAAATGTGTACCAAACATGGCATATTTCTGTGCATAGAGAATTATTCCAAAAACATACGAGTGATGCGTTACAAAATAAATACTTTTTTCTTCGATCGAACAAGTTTAACATTTTTTGTTTTAAATAATTAACAACCATTGTAATTTTTCCTTATGGCATATTTCACTAGATCCATCAATTATAGAGTAAAGTCCTCGTTTGGTGTCTAATGTTTTGGAACTCTTTTTGTTACATGATTATTTTCAATTATATCTTCATACAATAAAATATTTTACACGTAAATTTAAAAAAATTTATTACTTTTTAATCACACATTCTCCTAAAAAAATTATTCAAATTATTTATTTTTTTGAAATAATGGGCACCAAACATGACAAAAATATATTACGAAGTATTTATTATTTCTGATTATAAATTATTTCACGATAAATTGTTATTAATTAATGGTTGATAACAGTTTCGTTATCTTCGTCTCTTCGAAATCAGCACTTTATGGGCAGTGCAATTCCGCCAATTACTTCTTGTGTAAGCACAACATATCCCACGTCCGTACACTGCAAGTCTGCAATTGTCTGTCAACCCATTATTTGCAACCGAAGTCCCTAATTCTACAACAAAAAGTTTCTAGATCCCCATTATTATTATTATTTTTATTATTTTTTTATCTTTTTAGAATCTAAAAATTAATGTCGGAACAAGTCTGTCCTTAATAAAAACCATATGTAATTTCGTAAGTCACTTAAATTATTTATGACAAGACCAATAAGTGAATTTCATATCCTCACATTTAATTGTTATAAATAATTCTAGTTGTACATCAAAAAATGATTATAAGGGTGTACACCCACTTCATATGGAGTGGGACCCACTCGTGTAAAATATTTTTTTATTCAAGTGGGCTCCACCTCATGTGAGGGGGTGAACACTTCGATGTACATGGTGATATACCACTAGAAAAATCAAATTGCTATTGTCATTTCACCCGCATCATCTACACATCATATGTGGATAATCTACTATTTGTATACATGGCATTATTTCTTTAAAGAAACTTTTTATAATTTCCATTCAAAAGAATTGAAGCGCGTTGAAAAAAAAGGCATGAGTGCATTCTAGTATTAGGGAATTGAATAAACTTGAATGAGGATTCAATTACTCTAATTGACAATGTTTGGGGAGTGAGACTGCAAATTTTCCAAACGCTTATTTTATAAAATTAATCTGAATCGACACACCCACTCCTACTCATACTTTGCACGTAGCTCACACCCACTCCCAAGTCCCCATTCCCTTTGCAAACAGTTAATTTTGCCGAATCTCTCTTAAAAAAATCTTTCAATGTCTGGGCATGGACGTGGACGAGGACGAGGACGGGGCGGTGGCGGTCGAGGTCAGCCATCGCCATCAACTGGACGTGGCGGAGGTCCAGGTCGTGGCCGTGGATCATTACACTCTCCTCAGCCTTCTTCTCAGCCGGTGGCTTCGGCTTCTGCTGCGCCGGTTTCGTCACTGAGCAGCGAAGTTGAGCAGAAGCTCACGCTTCAGCCCTCCGCTTCGTCTTCGGAGCCTGTGGTTCAGCCGGTACAACAGGCTCCGCCAACGGAGGCCGTACAATCGCAGCAACAGCAGTTGCCGCCGGCGTCTTCCAAAGCTACTAGGCTTCCGGCAAGGCCTGGGTTTGGAACAGTCGGGACTAAGATGATTGTCAGGGCAAATCATTTTCTGGTCGATGTCGCTGATCGGGATCTGAGTCACTATGATGTAAGAGCATCTCCGACCCTTACACCATTTCACCGTATTGCCAAAAATTTGGCGCAACACCGCACCATTTTTACCAAAATGCTTAATATAACTTTTGCCACTCTTTTCCATTTTGCACCAAATTGTTGTTAGGATCCTTATGTCCATTTTTTTGTCATACGAAGTTTTAATTCTTGATTTATTAATAATACAAATATTATTATTATTTTTTAATACTATTAATATTATTATGTACATTTGTATTAAATTTTAATCAGGTAATCAATAGTAATCAAGGAATGAATTAAAAGTATTCAAGAAGTTTTAAAATTATTAATGAAATGTAATTATTTAATATTTTCTTTACATATTCAATATTTTTTTTATACAATAATAATCAAGAAATGAATTCAATATCTTTTGGATTAAAATTCAATTAAAATTTTAAGTTAAATTCAACTATTAATTTTAATCACACGATTTATGGGATCATCACTTTTTAACCATATATTTAATTAACTTTTATCAAAATCTATTAAAAAAATAATTTTAATCTCTACGAAATTGGAGCTAAATAAATAAATAATTTTTCAAATAAATAAATTTTTAAGAACAAAAAAAATAAAGAAAATGATTAAATATTGTTCATTTGGTGCAACTTTTGGTGTAACGGGCTAGAGATATTTTCAATTCGGTGCAAAATGATACAAAATTTATCTCAAATTTTGATACTAGGTTAAAAATGACCTAAATGTTTTACTCACATTTTTTGCTCTTGTTTGACAACTATTATTTGGGCAAAACTAAATTTTAAATGGTGATTTTTAGGAGAACATGATGTTAGAATATAAAGAAAAGTTTTAGTTTCACCTGTAAAATATTTTATTATGATTTTATTATGATTATCTGTAAAATATTTTATTATGATTATAAATAAGTGCGTAGATTTTTTTTTATCAAATAATGATAGTCAAACATGTTAGTTTTGAGCTCTAATTCAGCCCTTGTTTGATTCCATTTAATTTATTTTACTTTAATTTTCAATCACATTTACACAATAAAATATTTTACACGTAAATTCAAATTTGTCTTACATTTTAATCACACATTCTCCCAAAAAAAAAAAAAAAAAAAAATTAAAAATATTTTTTAAANGATGGGCATGTGTCTTGTAATGTTACACGACATTATGATTCTAAATTTTATATTAACGTAAGATAAAGAGTTTGTAGTAAGGATAATTCAGAATTTCGTTATTTCACTATTATTTTTTATGGACATGACAAACAAACAAAACTGTCGGCAACCTAACAATAATTGAGATTTATACTCTTCTTTTTTTTTTTTTTCAAATTAAGTTGATGATCATTATTTTTAAAATACATTTTTTTCTTTCTTATTTTCAACCACACATTTTTCAATAAAATAATATTACATTCAAATCAAACTTTTCTTTTTTTAACCACACATTCTTCATCAAATCACTATCAAAAAATGCATTCTTATAAAAAAAATGGGGTTCAAACATGTCATAAATAAAATAAATCTCTTGTTTGCGTACCATTCTTTTAAAGCTTTATTTTTATATGTGCTCATTTTTAGCTACATATTCATACAATAAGTTCTTGTTCGTCTCTCATTCTTTCAATATTTATTTTCAACATAGTCATTTTTAATCGTATATTGACGCAATAAAATATTTTACACGTTAACTCAATTTTTTTTACTTTTTAACTACACATTCTCTAAAAAATCACTATTAAAAAAAAATTCTTTTCCCAGAGGGGCCAAACTATTTTCCACGTAAATTTAAAAATTTTCCGGCTTTTTAATTACACATTTTTCAAAAATTCGCAATTCAGAATAATAATTTTTTTTTCAAAAAAATTGCCTCAAAACAGGGTGAAAAACTCCTTTGGCAAGTGGAGTGCCCAAACTTGAAAAGTTATTTTGAAAAACAAATTACATTGCGCACATGGGACCCAGAAGACGTGTTATGAACAACACCGTTTTAATGCTGCTGATTATTTATACCTTGCTCACATTTCTTGTTATATATGGTTACAAATGTTTGGTAGTTTATTGTTTCATACCTCTATATATTGACGACTTTTAATCCTTCCAAGATGGAAATATCGAATGTAAATACTGCTTTATATTTAAAGCTTGTTTGGTAGGGATTTTAATCGGATTAAAATTGAAAAACTAGTCGTCATGGTTGACTTTTATTAGACGAATGAGACCCAATAACGGCTATATTTTCAATTTTAATTAGATTAAAATCCCTCCCCAACAAGCTTTTAAATCTATAAGAGGTTAATAATTATGCTGGTGATCTTTTCCTATATCTTTCTAACTGGGTGGTGGCTATTTGTGGTATACCTGCACACATTATTTATTTTTATATAATTTGCATATTTACTTGCAACTGTTGATTTCTGGGTACAGGTTATTAATGTATAACCTGTTAAGCATCTTGTCATCTGTAAAAACTAGTGAAATTACTATCGCTTCCACAATTCATTCTTAGAATGCATGTATAAAATAAGGCGGTTGTTGTGTAACTTTGGTTTGATGCAAGGAACAATGCAATTTTTCTTATTTTTAATTTAATTTAATATGTATTCATTTATGCTGTACCATGTATATGTAGGTGTCAATCACTCCCGAGGTGACTTCTAAGAAACACTGTCGGGATATTATGAGCCAGTTGGTTAAATCTTATCACGTCTCACATCTAGGTAAGCGAATGTTAGTTTTTGATGGAAGAAAGAATGCTTATGCTGCAGGGCAACTGCCTTTCTCTTCCAAGGACTTTGATGTCACTCTAGTTGACAAGGATAATAGCAAAAGGTAGGTTCTTAATTCTTGCATAACATAATATATCATTCTGATGGTTGATGCCCTCTTTTATGTGACATTGTCGTAGTGATGTCTTTTTTTTTTAGGTCAATATCTGAATTCCTGTAAGGGAAGATACATTTCTTCTAAAAAAATGATGGAAAGTTATTCTTGCTGAAGTTCTTTGAAAGAATTAGTATCTTTGATTTCTACATGTTATCAATATGGTGTGAATTCTGATATAAAATATCAACTTACAAGCGTAATGTTCAATGCAACTATTACTGATAAAGATGTCTGACAAAATTTTGTGAATTAAAGTTTTATGTTCTTGAGTGGCATCATAAAAATTTTATTGTGTGAAGACTACCTTTTTCTTTGGTACAATAAATCACCTCATTTTGATGTCACATCCAATATGTTTGATTTGCTTCCTATAAATGCAGGAAGGATCGGAAATATAAGGTCTCTATTAAATTTGCTTCCAAAGCAGACTTGCACCATCTTCAACAATTCTTAAAGGCTCGACAACTTGATGCCCCACAGGAAACTATACAAGCTCTAGATTTGGTTCTTCGGGAGAAACCATCCAACAGGTTTCTAACTCTTCAGCACGTTGGCCTACAATACGGATATTCAGTGTTCGAATTAATCTATTTTAACATTGTGTCATTTAATTGCAGTTATGAAGTCGTCGGAAGGTCATTCTTTTCCCCAGACTTGGGCCAAATGGGGGAACTTGGCGACGGGTTAGAATATTGGAAAGGGTTTTATCAAAGTCTTCGCCCAACCCAGATGGGTTTGTCTCTCAACATTGGTAATAACTTCAAGATTTTTCATTGTTCATCTGTGTAGTTTTGACTTTGCTGTGGTCCTATATATGCCTTTCTCATTTATAAATTTTTTCTTACTTCGTTTAGTGGAAGTTCTAAAGCTGAGCTTCTGTCATTTATGGAGATCATCCTCGGTTTAATCATATATTTCCATGTTCCAGATATGTCAGCCAGAGCATTTTATGAGCCTATTTTTGTTTCTGAATACATTGTCAAGTATTTCAATCGAGATCTAACAAGGCCTTTGCTTGACCAAGATCGTATTAAGGTATTCTTTATTATCTGGTTTTAATTTTAACTTTTCTATGCGAACTACATTTTGTAGCGTTGGGAGAGTTAGTATTTATATTATCTATAGTTTTAACGTGCCATAGCTTAACTGGTCAAAATATCTCCATGTTAAAAGAAGAATTATTGAGGCAGTCTGTAATTGGGAGTTTTTTCCATGTTTTGGTTGGCAGATAGTTATATTCAATTATTTATTTCCATGATTAGCAACTAATTTCTTGCTGTCTTGTGCATTTTCAGGTGAAAAAAGCATTAAGAGGCGTTAGGGTGCAGCTCGACCACCAGGAGCATGTCATACGGTACAAAATTTCAGGCGTGTCAACAGAACCTACTCAAAACTTGATGTAAGCTCATTTACTGTTTCTATGGACATGTTTTTTGTTTTTGTACTTTGAGTCTTTGAAATATATTTTGAGTAGCCAGCAAAGCGGCTTACTAACTGCACTGTGATTGGCTTCCCTGTTTGTTGATATTACATGGCTTGTTAAGATAATGGTAACATGCAGGTCTCATGAATTATGTGATGTAAATTGCCTTCTGTATGTCATGTACCATTGAGGGGAGAGACGTATTGCAAGTTCCTAATATATTTGCCTTGCCTGCCTGATTGTTTATTTTTTCTAAAGCCATTAAATCAATTGATTTCTTATGTGTGAATATATTTTTCTTTTAGTAATTTATGTCTGAATTTCTTCTCTATAATTGATTAGGTTTCAGCTGGACGAGTCAGGGGCAAGAATATCAGTGGCCCAATACTTCCGCCAGAAGTACAATATCGTGCTCAAGTATCCATTCTTGCCTGCGATTCAAGCAGGCAGTGACACAAAGCCTGTTTATCTTCCTATGGAGGTAGCTTGTTACAAAATGCATATTTTCTGACTTCCAGTCTGTTTCTTGACACTGCCCGTCGTGGTTTGAACTTATAACTTCCTCATTCTTCCTTTGCAGCTATGCAGAATTGTTGAGGGCCAAAGGTTCTCTAGGAAGTTGAATGACAAACAAGTTACTGCACTTTTGAGAGCTACCTGTCAACGTCCGCGTGAAAGAGAGAAAAACATAAAAGAGGCATGGATGCATGATTTGTTAAATCGATTGCAGTTTTTTCTATATGACTATGCCTGAACATTATTTTGCGTCTCTAAAATGAAATTGACTCTGTAATCTGGTTTCTATTCCCTTGTATCACTTAATTTAATAGTGATTTACCTGCAGATGGTCAGTTATAACGATTACAATGGTGATATGCTTGTGAACAAAGAGTTTGGAATTCAAGTTAGGCCTGAGCTTACTTCCATTGAAGCACGAGTTTTGCCAGCTCCCACTGTAACTTCTATAATTTATGATTGTTTTGTGTGTTCTTGAATCGTGTCACCTTTTGTTTTCTAAAGTGTGCTGCCACTTTGGACTGCCAGCTGAAGTACCATGAGACTGGGCGGGAGTCACGGATTGATCCAAGGGTAGGGCAATGGAACATGATTGACAAGGTGAATCTGCTTTCCTAACCGAGTGTATATTTTTAGTCACATTGTTTAAAGGTTACTTCTGCTAGCATGTTTTTGTATGTATGTTCACCTGTTGATTTACTGTTTTGTTGCCGTAAGAAAATGATTAATGGTGGAAGGGTGGAGTTTTGGACATGCATCAACTTCTCGCAACGGTCCAACATAGATTTAAACAGGTTCTGCAATGAGTTGATTAGCATGTGTTGCAGTAAAGGAATGGTATGGATTTGTAAATGTTTGATTCATCATTGCAATTGATGCAACATTGATGGCACTGACAGACTATATTGTGTTCGCTTTTAGGAATTTAACCCAAGACCTTTGGTTCCATTTCGTTCGGCCCATCCTGGTCAGATCGAGAAGTCACTAATCGATATTCACACAAAGTCTACCACAACTCTAAGTAAGCAAACAGGAAAACAGCTGCAGTTGCTCATTGTCATTTTGCCTGATATCAGCGGGTCCTATGGTTAGCTGCACTATTCCTGGCTTCTATATTTATCAAAGAGGGAATCGTTTCTCAAAAATGTAATTTGTTTATCTCAGGGAAGATCAAGCGAGTTTGTGAAACTGAATTGGGGATTGTCTCGCAATGTTGTCAGCCCAGGCAGGCATCAAAGTATAGCAAACAGTACATGGAAAATGTATCTCTGAAGATCAATGTGAAGGTTTGTTATGACACCGCGTCCTGAACTGTTATAGCCAACTTTTTTGGTTTCCAGCATTAAATTATTGCCTACATTTTCCCATGTTTATCTGTCATTGTTCAAATAGGTTGGAGGACGAAACACTGTTCTGGAGCAGGCTGTTCTTAAAAGGATTCCTTATCTGACTGATCGCCCAACCATCATCTTTGGTGCTGATGTTACCCATCCTCAACCCGGGGAGGATTCCAGTCCTTCTATAGCAGCGGTAGGTTGGCGACTTTTGGCATCCCCACCCCTTCCCAATTACCCACACGTGTACTGAGAGAGAAGAAATCGGGAGAAAGAGAACTGAGTCATCTATATTTACAGGTGGTGGCTTCAGTGGATTGGCCAGAAGTAACCAAGTTCAGGGGCTTGGTTTCTTCCCAGAAACACAGGGAAGAAATAATACAGGATCTTTATAAAACAAGTTCAGATCCTAAGAGAGGCACAATTCATGGTGGAATGGTTAGGTTAGAAAACCACAAGCGATATTGTTTGCTCGGCATTTCCCCTTTCCTTCACTCATCTTTGAATTTTCTTGCAGGGAACTTTTGATTGCATTTTTCAAGTCCACAGGGTATAAGCCTCACAGAATTATATTCTACAGGTCAATTCCTTATTAGAGTTCATGTACCTTATTACACCTCTATCTGGTCGTATTCTAATATATATGCAAAAATCATAGGGATGGTGTAAGTGAAGGGCAATTTTCTCAAGTTCTTTTTCATGAAATTGATGCAATACGGAAGGTTCACATTCTCAATTTTCTCGTGTTCCTTATTTGTGGATTTTCTTTTATCTTGAATATGATTCAGTTTCTATCTATGAAGTATTTGTAGCTTACATAAACAAAATGACTTTCTTAGGCTTGTAATTCGATAGAAGAAAATTATCTACCACCGATCACCTTTGTAGTCGTGCAAAAGAGACACCACACACGTCTCTTCCCCGCTAATCACGGAGATCGTAATGCGACAGACAAGAGTGGCAACATTTTGCCAGGTTTCGCTTATATTTTACCTTTTTTTTGCATAGGACCTCCGTATATTTTCATGCAACTAGTTCCCCTATGTAACCACATTCTATGCTTGCATGAACAGGTACCGTTGTTGACACTAGGATATGTCACCCCAGCGAATTTGACTTCTTCCTTTGTAGTCATGCTGGGATTCAAGTAAATTTGATTTCCCTTCAGTATTGTTTAGATACGTGGCACCTGTTCTTAAGGAGGATATTTTGCTTTATAATTCTAATCGGTTTTTGCATTTCCTATCAGGGAACTAGCCGTCCGACACATTACCATGTGTTGTATGATGAGAACAGATTTAGTGCAGATGGTTTACAAATGCTAACCAACAACTTGTGTTATACGTAAACTATCCTCCCTAAAACTTGTATTTTTTATTTCACTTTTTATGAATATATGTGTTCCTGAGGCTGCTTTATGTATTCATAATTGGAAACCTTTTCCTTTCAGGTATGCCAGGTGTACTAGATCGGTTTCTATAGGTTAGTCTTTGCATATACTGACTGCACTCTCCTCTGTCATCTTTGAGCATTATTAGCTAAGCTTAAACACAAGTAAAAAATAAAAAATAAGTTTGAACAACTTTTCATTTCTGAACTTGTCAGGGTAAGTTTATTTTGTCTGACTTTTAAGTTAAAAAAATAAAGTTATATATAATTTAAGTACTCATCAACAAATTTATTTATTTGCTAACTTTTCAAGCTTAGCCAAGCATGCTCTATGACGTAGTATATCTTGGTTTTCCGAATGCTTCTGGTTACCTATGCAGTTCCGCCTGCTTACTACGCGCATTTAGCTGCATTCCGTGCTCGCTATTATATTGAGGGTGGTGATTCGGAGGGCGGATCCTCATCTGGAGGCGGCAATACCACAAGAGATAGGAATGCAGAGGTCCGCCCGTTGCCTGTTATTAAAGATAACGTCAAAGACGTAATGTTTTATTGCTGAATGAGACATGTCATGGTTTTTGTCGCTGAATTGTTAGCCTTGGCTAATAGTTTATAGGTTTTCCTAGTCTCTCACACTAGTACTATGATGAGTATAAGCTTCTGGCTTAATCTAAAACTTCCAGCAAGCTGTGGCTCGTTTTGATTGCTGAAATGAAATTATTGCTTTTGCCTTTTCAAATACTTGTGAAGTGAATTCCTCTACTTGTATGACATGTATCCTTTACAAAACTCATGTTCTTTACACAGGATCATAAAATACGACTATTGTACATTGAATGATACTTTTCGTACACACTCCTTTCGACTTCTAAAGATGAATATCTGACAGGGAACTTGAAAAGTATCATATATTTTTCCGATTCATTCCCTGGGTGTCATTGTAAAAACAAAAAAGATTGCTATTTGCAACAAGAAAGCCAGGATGCTGTTCTTCATCAGTTTGCAACGATCAGTGCCCATTGAACTGTTGTCGTGTTGTGCTGTATTGAAAAGTTCGGTATTACCAGTACTGGTAGTTTCAGACACATTTACAGACAATGAGCCTGAAGGACATAAAATTCAAGTACATCATGTCAGTAAGCATCAAGAAATACTAATAGCCTGTTTGTTTCTGATTAAAATTCAATTAAAATTGGTCGTTATTGGATCTCACTCATCTAATAAAAGTCAACAATAACTACTAGTTTTTCAATTTTAATCCGATTTTAATCTCTACCAAACACGTCCTAAATCCTTGATTGTTCATTAGGTATACAATGAAACCGGCACGACTGCAAACACAAATACGGACAAGCACATATCTCGAAAGGTGCTTATAATTGGAAAGGTGAAAATGAAACTTACAGTCGTAATTTGCCCATCCAATCCGTTGACCAGCCAAATCATACACAACAATCTTATCTTTAAGAACGAGATCTGTAAAAAATAATAAAAAACGAATGAATGAAAGACAAATGACACAAAAATCCCGTGCCGACTTGCAATGTGGGTGGGTGCATGCATGCACATGGAGCAACCGTATTTGGTTCAGCTAAAAAATTTAATTAAAACCCAAGTCAAACTTAATAATTAATTTTAACCACACATTTCATAGGACCCACAACTTTTAACCATATTGCATCAGCTTCTATCAAAATAAAAATCTGATTTTTATCCAAACCAAAAAGGGGAAAAATATGTTTGCATTTAGAATTAGTTTCGCTTAATACTCTTACCTCCTAAAATTGTAATCCCCTGTCCTGCATTTTTCTGAAAGCCCATGCACCATACTGCAGCATCACTCTGCGCAAGCAATGAAGATGAAGCACTATCTTAATGATTCAGAAGTTGGTAAAATAACAAATGCACACTAATGAAACGATTCCTAGGGGGTGTTTGTTTTTTATTTGAAAATTGATTCTCAAATCAATTCTCATTTTCAACCACACATTCTTCAATAAAATAATATTTTCCATCAAATCAATAATTTTTCAATTTTTCAACCACACATTTCCCATCATATCACCATTCAAAATCAATTCTTCCCCCAAATATCCCTACCAAACAAGCTCCTAGTAATGAAACACGTCTAAAATTCCTAAATACACTCATTAACGAAGACCAAAATTTCATCAAATCCCAACCAAAATCACAATAATACAGTATAGATATGAAATGTAAACTTACAATAGAGTTCTGCTGTACAAGGTAATCCTCAGGCTTGAGAATCATTGATGCACCACCCACAAAGTTTAAATTAACTGGAGGAAATATCTCTGAAACACTGAAGAAAATTTAAATAGCAAATTATCAATAAATTACTGATTACAATAAAAGTAACTTTGATATTCCATTCCAGAAGAAAACCTGGAGGTGATTACGTAACACTGGTTTCCCTTGGAAAGTACGGGGTGGACAGATTGTGAAACAGCCTGTGTAATCTACACAGAAAGATTGCCAATCAAAATACTTGAAAGTGAAAAAAATTGATTATTTTGTGTCCGTTAACTCAAATTCTTCCCAGGCAACTCACTGCGGTAACAAAAGGATCATAAGCCTCGTCTGCAAGGTATGCCAAAGTTGTTCCAGAATCAATTATTGTACCTCGGGTGTCTGATGTTGCAAAAATTGTTGGATCAATGGGTAATGTCTGGCCTTTAATAGAGATACTCTGCAAATTTACATTATAATGTGGCCTGAAAATTTTGGAAAGAATGGTTCAAAATGGAGCATAGCACTGGACAACATTAAGGAAGAAAGAAATGCTTAAATCTTGTTGATTATACAGTCAAGAGAATGAAGTCTTCTCGAGTACTCTTGCACTGTGTACCTAATTTATAAAATACCATTTAAGCTGATGGATATAGCATTATTTGAAAGTTAGGAGAGATATCAAATACGAATATGATGAAAAAACAAAAAAGAACCAGAAAGACCTATATGCAGGACTAAGAGCAAGTTTGGCCAATAGAGAGAAGTAAAAGTACTTTGAAAAGTGTTTTAACAAAATAAGTTCGTTAAAAGCTAAATTTACAGGTTTTTTTGGACTAACATGTTTGGCAAAATAAATCATTTAAATTTAACTTTAAGCTTAAACATTTGTTCAACTAAGCTTAAAGTTTCTTGTAAGTACAACTTTTTCCTGGCTCTGGCTAACTTTCTCTAGATCATTCAAAATTGTGATCCAACAAGAAAAAGTACAATTAAACTATTCATGCTCAATTGCTATATATCCACGGAGTACAAGAAGAAGCTGGTTTCGATGAACTCGGCTCAAAATGTTCGGTTTAGTCAACAGAGCCTCAGTAAGAATTAATAGACATTGTAAGTGGGATATTTTAATATGTAACTTCAAAAAACGAAGCTAGGACAAGTTGATCAAACAAGTATAACCAATATGATGGAAATAACAGAAAACAATCAAATTTGTCTAAATTTTAGTCCAAAAATGTCGTAAGACATCAAAAGCAATCAGTTTGCAAATCAATATCCTAAGACTCGAAATCTTATATCAATAACCTAAAATCTTAATTTTTAATGTTTCGTTTTTTTACAAAACAGGTACAGTGTAGGACAAACATAAACTGGTACACCTTCAATGAGGAGAAATTCACAGCCAAAAATAGATGCTCCTAGATCTGACTTCTCTGCTTCTTTTTATTACATAGGTTTTAGGCCAAAATAATCAACTAATGCAGGATATCGGAAATCAATTCCGATTCTTTGTTTCTCGGCTTTTTTGAGGCCCGAGTGAAGGCACATGAGTCAAAAGGATTCACAATAAACAATCATCAAAATAAATAGAAAAGAAAATAAATATGAAGCACAATGATATGTTGTGGGCTTCACTTGAATCCGAAAATGCCAAAAGATGGAGTTCAAATAATAGTGTCAAGAATCCAGTTCTCCCCAATAATCTAACTCAAATTCGTACAACCATTCACTGTGAATTATTAATAATACTAAAAAACTAATTTTCAAGACCTCAGATTTTACGAGATAGTAAGATGAAACAATCGGCACAAGAATATCTAACATTAGACGGTAATGAAAATTGTAGAGCAGAGGAGTAAATACTGTAATGGGACAAGTGGAGTGTAAACTATGTTTGGCTCAACGACCGGACCAAGCACCAATATACCACCACCATGGTTGCCGCCTTTCAAGCAGTGAGAGAATGCATTTGGGGTGACACCGATTGAAGATAGTTGTGAAATTAAAGATAAGCCCTGCTGCCCAAAACCAAATATACCATCAACTGCCCTATCTGACTTGGTAAGATCCCCCGTCTGCGATGTGCTACAACTGTATCAAAACAATCCAGGGAAATGCAAGTAGGTTGATGAAAACTACGATTACATATGAAAAACTATAGTTTTAACATACCGATAAGAACTCACCCGAAAATAACAGGAGCAGAAGAATTTGAAGTTAAAGAATTCCCAACATTCTTGTCGAAATACATTAAATCTGACACATAATAACCTGATGTTCCACTACCATCCCCATACTGGAATGTGTACCCACATTGATTCTGAGCTGAACATCCCGACTCAGAAGTCTGTGCTCCCAAAGCACACCTTTGATCGGAGCATGAGAGGGGTGAAGCCGTCGATGAGCTGGACGGATCAAATAACTCGAGCTTAATCTGCTAATGTGATATCTGGTGATTTGATGTTCCAAAACAAAAAGGAAATTAAAATGAAAAAGATTAAAAATTTCATCAAGATTTTTGGATTTACTTGGAGTCCAGTGGATGTAGGGCAACCATTACAAGAATTGCAACCGATCCATAAGACATCACTTCCTGTATCTATCTGCACATAGAATTCTTTTGGAGGAGTCCCTAGTTGAACTTTTGTATAGTATAGCCTAGGGAACAAGGGCTATGATGCGGTGAGTTTCAATTCATTCAGAAACATTGTCCCTTACATCAATTTGCATGATATTACCAAATAACAACAACAATAAAATAAACTAAACCTTATCCCCAATTAATTTAGAGTCAGCTACATGAATTATTTTTTGCCATTCCATTCTGATAGTTAGCAAAACAAGTCCATTTAAGCACCCAAACCAGCTTGACTATTTCCAGGGTGTATTTTTTTAACTCTGCATATATATTTTTCAAAGCTATTTTTAAGCTTGGTCAAAGGAGGAGGGTAGTAGTAGGTTAACAGTCAATATAAAACTATGTAAAATCTCATAACATGAATCAAAAGGCACAGTTTTAATAAAAACATAATTCAAGAAATGCCGATGCCCTCATTCAATGTTTGTTGGGTCGGTATTGAACATAATTAAAGAATAAAATAAGCTTAAATTTTATCCATGGTACCATACAAAGTTGTCCCTTTGTTACATATTTTCCAATTCAGTCATATGAAGCATTGAAATCTTTTTATTTATTCCATATTGGTTTATATTATGGACCTATCAAATTGAAATAGATTATTCAAATAAATTTAACACAATAAGGTTCAAGAAATGACCCAAAATTCAGTAAACAGTATAAAAAATCGAAACTTTAAAAACACTCGATGAAAGTAATTTTCAATTATATCAATAAGAAAACAGTTCACTGTATGGAGATATTCTAAATGCTGCAAAGCAGCAATTTCAGCCATATAAAGCTCAAACTTGTAGTTGAAATTCAAGAAACGAGCCATGCCGAAAATCCTATGTGCTTAAATATGTAAAAATTAATCAATGGGTAAGATTTGGGCTTGAATTCAGGTGAATAAATTATAATTGTTGCTATGCTTAAACAAAATACATATACAAATATAATTACAAAAAAGTGTATCTATATAAATTTACCCAACAACAAATGGATCATAGGTGCCTTCAACGTCAAAATCGATGACTCCAGAAGGTTTTTGCTGCAAGATTCTGCCGTGTCGGACCCGATCACGGTCCCTGAGTTGGCTCAGCTCCACCCCGTCGTGACTCGCTCTCTGCAGATTCCACGTCAGGCTTTTCCCTCCTTCACCCAGCACCATCTCCGCCACCACCACTAACACCACCGCCACCACCACTTTCTCCGGCGACATTTCCTTCTGAATATCTTGTTTTTCCTTTTACTCCAAGCAATCTAATAAATTATTTCTATACATGCATACATAAATATGCGTGATTACATAGGGATCTAATGTATACGCGTGTTATATATATATATTTTTTTTCTGAGAATTTTGAAAAAATCAAGAACGCGTATGTGAGATAACGTCAGAAGTTTGAAATTTGTGGGATTACAGTGTACTTTTTATCCAGGCACGTTGCATTTAGATATTATTTTTTATGAGGCATAATCTGATAATAATCATAAAAAAACGCATTAAAAAACTTTTTAAAAAATATCTACCTTATAATGCCAAGAATTTAAAAAAATAAATAAATAAATTATGATCCCTATTTCTTTAAAAATTCATCGTCTGTCGAACTCATTTTTAATTTATAAGCTCATTTGTTTTCGGAAAAAAAAGGGAAATGAAAAATTACAGAATAATATATATACATAAAATCTATAATATATTAATCATTTTCTGGACGATTTTAATCCTACTACAATTTAATTATTTAAATAGTACCTTACTTTTTTTTTTCAATATATATTTAATTGAATATTAATTATTAAACATGCACGCAAATAAATAATTGAATTGTACGAGAACAATCAAATTGATTCATGAACATGAAATTTAATTAATTTGAATCAATGAATATAGAAAAAGAATAATGTATATACATTTAAACAAAGGGAGTGTAAGTAATCCAATATAAAATTTAATTAATTTGAATTAATAGATATAAAAAATAATAATTTATACACATTTAAAAAAAGGGTGTGTACATGAACCAACATTGAATTTAATTAATTTGAATCAATGAATATAGGAAAAAAATTTATATATATTTAGACAATAATATTTTAAATATCGA